TCTGCATACCACAGAACTATGCTACTCGTGAATCATCACACTTCCCTTTTTCCCATAATAAATCCAGAACAGGTGTCAAGTCTTAGCCAAAATGAGTTATACGTGTCAGATTAAAACCGATTTTTTATAACATGTTAAAACTGACAAAACTAAAGGTCGCAAATCCACTTTAATCGGAGATAAAATTTCACACTACAATCAGTTATAAGAACACTTTTTCAATAATTTTAGAATAAGTGATCAAACCTTACATGCATATTCCCTACACCTAGAAGTTTGAATTTCAGTTTAAAAAAAACACGCATATGGTCCACGTATTGCAGTCCTTTTTTAAAGGACAGCAACTTGTTATCAATATACGAGGGGCCGCAAGTCACCTCATCCCTTAACTTTGATTCGCACATTTTTGATAGTCTTATTAAAATTCTAACCAAAAACACATAGTTAACCGAAGAATGACCATAGGTTCATTAAAAGTTCTTGATACGCATATTCGGCATGTATACATCGGTAAACAAATTGGAAGTGTATATGTGTTTTGAGCGAGGAGGCGCAGAGATAAGGTGGAATGTTTACTTTGTATGTTTATTATTGCATTATTGTGGTCATGCAGAAACAATCCATTTTATTATAGAATCGAAAGAAAGAGAGAGGTAGAATTTTGTTTTTGCTTGTCTGACAGTATGGTATCATTTTTGTCAATAAACATCTTTTCGCTATGCATTTTCACCTGCCAGTACAAATGAATGTTTTTTTTTTTTAGAATTCATTGCATTTGTCCATAAAAGAAAGCAAAAGCACACTTTCCAATACCCCCAACAACCCGCCCACAGACACACGACTTTAATTTGCAACACCTTAAATTTAAATACATTTATTAAACTGATTTTGAACATTTGTAGCTAATTCAATAATTTGATAAATTATAAAATTTATTATTTGTAAGAAATTGTGTATATCTTTTTTTTTCCTTTTGTTTTATTTTCTTTTCATCGGCCACTACACTATTGAAAATTGTTTTCAATCTGCCTGACGAAAGAAATTGCGTTATTTCATTTTGAATTCCTGCTTTTTGCTTAAACTCGAAGCGAAATGTAACAATGCACAATGAAATAATCCAAAAATTGTGTTATCACATTATGCATTATTACATTTTGCGTTGATCTCGACGCAAAATGTAATAACGCGAAATGTAATAATCCTCAAAAGTGTGCTGTTACATTTTGCGTTGTTACATTCTGCGTTGATTTCAACGCAAAATGTAATAAAGCAAAATGTTATAATCCAGGTTTATTACATTTTGCATTGTTATTACATTTAGCGTTGTAACATAGCATTCCAAATTGACTTAACTTCAAAACAAACTTCATTTGCAGACAGAGGTGGTAATTAATCTCAATGTGACAGAGAAAGAGAATGTTCTGGATTTTCTTCAGGAGGAAAGCTAGTTAATCCCAAGGGACTCCTAGCAGCTTTCAGTTTGCAATGGGAACATCTTCAGCAGTTATCTCTCTTTGCCTATGCATTCTTTTATAAAGTTAAGGAATCTACCCCACCACCCCAGCTCTTAACCATGGGACATAGAGAACCAAACTTAGCATTAAAATATGTATTTTTGCAAACTGAACTACCATGCCAAATTTGTAATTGATTGGACAACCATAAAAAAAAGTTGCCCGTTCATTCTTATGCAAAGTTAATGAATCTACCCCACCATCCCCGCTCCAAACCAGAAGACATAGAGAACCAAACTTAGCATCAAAATATGTATTTCTGCCTACTGAACTACCATACCAAATCGAACTTGATTGGGCAACTATAAAAAAATTATTAGATAAATACAGAAAATTTGTGGACGGAAGAGGGACAGACGGACACACAGCTACACAGACAGACTGGTGGACAGAGTGTTAACTATAGGGCACCCGCAAAGCCTTCAATGAATGCAAATATTATGAAAGCTTTAACTTCAAACAAAAAGCAGTTGCAGACAAAGGTTTACATTAATCTTAAAGTGACAGATAAAGAAAGCCTACGAAATTTTCTGCAGCAGGCTAGATAATTAATCCCATGGGATTAATTGTACCTCTCTCATCATTTTCTTGTAAATTAACAATAAGAACTTTTCAGTATTAATGATATAATGGGTTTCTTATACAACTACATTAAAAATTAATAATATACTTGAATTAATATATATTTTAAAAAAGTGAAAAAAGTACATTAAAAAATCTTCTTTAATCTATTTCATGTTTTTAGAATTCAATGGAATCATAACTATCAAACAAAAATAAATAATAAAAATTCATATTAAAATTCACATTTCAGAGTGTTCATAGCATTCCAAAATGACTTTACTTCAAAACAAACTTCATTTGCAGACAGAGGTGGTAATTAATCTCAATGTGACAGATAAAGAAAATGCTCTGGATTTTCTTTAGGAGGAAAGCTTATTAATCCCAAGGGACTCCTAGCAGCATTCAGTTTACACTGCTAACATCTTCAGCAGTTATCTCTCTTTACCAATGCATTCTTATATAAAGTAAAGGAATCTACCCCACCACCCCAGCTCTAAACCATGGGACATAGAGCAAATTTAGCATTAAAATATGTATTTTTGCCAACCGAACTACCATACCAAATTTGTAATTGATTGGACAACCATAAAAAAGTTGCCCATTCATTCTTATGCATAGTTTAGAAATCTACCCCACCACCCCAGCTCCAAACCAGAAGACATAGAGAACCAAACTTAGCATCAAAATATGTATTTCTGCCTACTGAACTACCATACCAAATTTGAACTTGATTAGGCAACTATAAGAAAGGGTATTAGAAAAAACAGAAAATTTGTGGACGTAAGAGTGACAGACAGCTAGACAGACAGACGGATAGACAGAGTGATTACTATAGGGCACCCGCAAAGCCTTCAATGAATGCAAATATCATGAAGGCTTGACCTTAACTTCAAACAAACAGCAGTTGCAGACAAAGGTTTACATTAATCTTAAAGTGACAGATAAAGAAAAGCCTACTAAATTTTCTGCAGCAGGCTAGATAATCAATCCCAAGGGATAAATTGTACCTCTCTCATCAATTTCTTGTAAAATTACAATAAGAACTTTTTAGTATTAATGATAGAATGTTTTTTTTTTATACAACTACATTAAAAATTAATAATATACATGTACTTGAATTAATATATTTTTTAAAAAAGTGAAAAAAGTAAATTAAAAAATCTTCTTTAATCTATTTCATGTTGTTAGAATTCAATGGAATCATATTAACTATCAAACAAAAATAAATAATAAAAATTCATATTAAAATCCACATTTCAGAGTGTTCATAGCATTCCAAATTGACTGAACTTCAAAACAAACTTCATTGCAGACAGAGGTGGTAATTAATCTCAACGTGACAGATAAAGATAATGCTCTGGATTTTCTTCAGGAGGAAAGCTAGTTAATTCCAAGGGACTCCTTTACACTGCCAACATCTTCAGCAGTTATCTCTCTTTGCCTATGCATTCTGATATAAAGTTAAGGAATCTACCCAACCACCCCAGCTCTTAACCATGGGACATAGAGAACCAAACTTAGCATTAAAATATGTATTTCTGCCTACTGAACTACCATATCAAATTTGTAATTGATTGGACAACCATAAAAAAGTTGCCCATTTATTCTAATTCATAGTTCAGAAATCTACCCCACCACCCCAGCTCCAAACCAGAAGACATAGAGAACCAAACTTAGCATCAAAATATGTATTTCTGCCTACTGAACTACCATACCAAATTTGAACTTGATTGGGCAACTATAAACAGGTTATTAGAAAAAACAAACAAATTATGGACGGAAGAGTGACAGACAGACGGACAGACAGACAGACGGACGGACAGAGTGATTACTAAAGGGCACCCGCAAATCCTTGCGGATCCCTAATTATTGTCATCCTGTGCAATAATGATTTTTTATATTATACTGTATGTTCGGTTGAATAGAAATATTACTTCTGAAAAATTTTAAACTTTATTTTAGGCTTTTTGGTCATAGGGGTTTAAATAAAATAAAATTAAAGCGGCACTGTGACGCACAAAGGGGAAAATTGACGAATGTAGAATTTTCGCATGACCTCTGTAAATTTTGTTCAATTCCTAAAAGTATTAAGTTTCAGAAATTTACATGCTTCAGAACCTAAAAATAATATTTTTATGGGGAAAAATAAAAGTAAAAATAATTTCTGTCTGCCCCAGAACGAAAAATATTGCAAAATACCCTGGTACGTCTTCCTCCCTATTGTACGCGTGCGCAGAAAAGTGTTGAATAAGTTTCCATAGTTACAATGGTTTCAGTTATCCACAAATGAATGTAAGAAGACCAAAAAAATTGATTTAATCTTTTTTAAAAAGTTTTTAGAACATATTTCTCACCTTTGCATGCTCCAGTTGAAGGTTGTTTACAAGTTTGAGCTAAAAATAAGAGTTGTGTGACCTTGACATAACCGAAACAACGAAACGGTAGATACAACCTTCATTTTTCCGGCACTTATATTGTACAGTCAATTCTTGCAGTTTAATTGTCATATATTCGCTAAATAGTCATAGTTTCATAAGACTTTCTCTGTATGCTACAGATATCTTAAAATTACGATATGATTTTGACTCACTGTGCCGCTTTAATCATAATAACACATTTTACCAGCAAAATTAAATTCTCAAAAATGCAGCTCGTATTTCTTTAATTTAGGATTATGGAGTGAATAAGTTGATTGACCAATGCTAGAAAATGGAGAAACTATCACCAATTATGTGCAGAAAATTTTGCGTCGTAAATTGCACATTATTTTCATAATGGGAAAGTCACACTGATAAAAACATATTAAAACATATTTCTACAGTTCTCCCTACACTGTCACATGAAAGTTCTTAGCAGAGCTCTCTCTTTGTATATCAATGTCCTATTCACAACATGTGCACTGCTTCAATAAATATAAATACATTGAATGTTATAACTTTTATTTCTATATAAGGATGATCTGCGATATGCTGCATTATTGCACAAGAAAATAGCACTATAAAACTAGAAAAAAAGAAAGGAATGAAAAAGAATTCCAAAAATAATCATAAACCCCAAAACCCATATAATCTACCCTTTATATAAGTAACTTTGATAATTGTATGTACATGTATATATGAAAAATATATAAAATAAGCATATAAAGTGAAAAAAAGATAATTGATAAAGAGAAACAAAGATGACTTTTTCCAACAATCGGTGGTAATTTTCCCCCGAACATAAATCCATACATAATAATACTATACATATTGCTAAATCTCAATTATAGCTATATCTTTGGATAAGAAATCCATCTCATTGGATAGAAAACTATGTATTGCTAAAACCTACATCAAAACATTTGAACTACGATTATATCTGATATCAAAACAACATATTAAAAGTTTCTTTCAAATCAGAAACTGTCATCTCTCGGTGTCAAATATTAATCAATGGATTAGATAAGCCTCGGCCTTTGTCCTCGGGTAACTAGGCGCTGAGAGCCATCCTGATCTGTCTGTCATGTTTTCCCTCAGACAAGCATGTGACGCTCAGAAGTAGATGGTCAGTTTTCTGTAGATATTTCTGAAAATTCAGACATAGTGTAACTTTATTAATCCTGAAGATCTGATGAATGAACTTTCAAGGTTATGACCATAAACATAACAACATGTAAGATCTAGTTTTGCTTTAAGGAAAAACTTACAAATTTGATTAAAATACACTGTAAAATTAATTAATAAAAGTTTGTGTGTTCCGGTGTAAATCAAGATGTATCATTTATATCTACTGATAATACAGTTCTGCTTACATGGGCATAAGTCATTGCATTCTTTCTTTCAGCAACAGAGGTTTCCAATGCAATCCAGAAGAAGACAGCTTTCTTGGTGTCGACAATAAACACATCCTAATGTTAATAAGTCAACAGAAATATATTTATTTCATTATTATACTCATCCAAACTATGGCGAGTTTTAAGCAAGTCTAACCTTAGACAGGTCTGAAAGTCTCGATGTTTGATGTCAAATTCCCAGTAGAAAATATTTTAAACAGCAGTCTTCAGCGCTCACTCACCTTGCTGTCCAAATCAGACGTGACTACTGACCCCCTCTTCTCTACACAGACTCACATTGCTGTCCAGATCAGACGTGGAGACTGACGCACTCTTCTCTACAAAGACTTACTTTACTGTCCAAATCAGACGTGGATACTGACCCACTTTTCTCTACATAGACTCACCTTACTGTCCAAATCAGACGTGGATACTGACCCACTCTTCTCTACATAGACTCACCTTACTGTCCAAATCAGACGTGGATACAGACCCACTCTTCTCTACATAGACTCACCTTACTGTCCAAATCAGACGTGGATACTGACCCACTCTTCTCTACATAGACTCACCTTACTGTCCAAATCAGACGTGGATACTGACCCACTCTTCTCTACATAGACTCACCTTACTGTCCAAATCAGACGTGGATACAGACCCACTCTTCTCTACATAGACTCACCTTACTGTCCAAATCAGACGTGGATACTGACCCAATCTTCTCTTCACAGACTCACCTTGCTGTCCAAATCAGACGTGGATACAGACAATCTATGGAAACAAAATGTTGTCATACTTTGATAAAACAAGGTGTAAATTTATATGATGGAGCAAGTGGTTTTTTTTTATTTCAACGTCTTATAAAGTTCTTGAAGTAAATAATATTTCATTCAAACAAGAAGAAAACATTTTTAATAAAGAAAAAAGTAAAACTTAGGGATGGGGGTAACAGGAAAACCTACTTCAAAGACATAATTAATTTCTAGATGTGTGCATGTCTTTCATGTGGAGACTTAATTGTCATTTGTCGACTTCCAGAGGTTATCAAGAAAAATCGAAAAAAATGACACATTCTGAATTCCTGATACATTTATGTGATGAAGATTTTCAACCTTTACATTAAGTCAGTCATTTCAGAATATTAGAATTTGTATTTGATAAATATATGTGATGGTATTTGTGCCCCAATACACTATATACCCCTCAGCCAACCTGAAAGAGTTCCACTGTCAAATCTTTTGGCTTCTTGTTCTCTGCTTCATCTGGAACATCATCTTCCGTCAGGGCATGGTAAAACTCGTGCTGTAAAAGGGCTAAGGGAATGGTAAAACTCATGCTGTAAAAGGGATAAAGGCATGGTAAAACTCGTGCTGTAAAAGGAATAGGGACGTGGTAAAACTTGTGCTGTAAAAGGGATAGGGGCATGGTAAAACTCGTCCTGGAAAAGGGATAAGGGCATGGTAAAACTCTTGCTGTGAATGGGATAAGGGCATGGTAAAACTCGTACTGTAAAAGGGATAAAGGCATGGTAAAACTCATCCTCGAAAAGGGATAAGGGCATGGTAAAAATCGTCCTCGAAAAGGGATAAGGGTATGGTAAAGCTCGTGCTGGAAAAGGGATAAGGACATGGTCAAACTCGTCCTCAAAAAGGAATAAGGGTATGGTAAATCTCATCCTCAAAAAGGGATAAGGACATGGTAAAACTCGTCCTCGAAAAGGGATAAGGGCATGGTAAAACATGTGCTGGAAAAGGGATAAGGGCATGGTAAAACTCGTGCTGGAAAAGGGATAAGGGCATGGTAATTCTCGTCCTGGAAAAGGGATAAGGGCATGGTAAAACTCGTCCTGGAAAAGGATAACAGCATGGTGAAACGTGATGGAAAAGGGATTAGGGCATGGTAAAACTCGTGTTGTAAAAGGGATAAGGGCATGGTAAAACTCGTGCTGTAAAATGGATTTCCTCTATAAGCAACTTGTACTTGTAATAAAATAATATTAAAAACAGTCCAATCCAAAAGCAAATAACCAGGGTACCAAGTAATTTAAGATTATGCCACCGTGCTTCTTTTTCAAAATTAATTGATTAGACACTATTTTGGTTTTTATTTTGCTGATCACATCTTGTGATTTGTTTTATAATTGTATACACAGAAACAAAATGTAAATGCCATTGGAGCATAACCTTCTCTTGAAAGGATAATACAATACCCATACATTATATTATATACTCCTCCATAGCACCTGATCCTACCTCTGATGTTTAAGATGCCCTTGTTTGCTCTACTCATGTTTTGTATTGTTTTAATGGACTTTGATATTGAATTCTGCTCATTATCTCCATATCATTTATTATGCTTAAGAGTATAAAACATGGTATCAATTGACACAATAACTTAATACTTTTATAACAATTGAAAATTGTTTTTCCTGGGACTTTGCTGTAAGCATATTTCACTCTAAATGTAAGTAATTGCAATATATGGACATTTTCAAAGAACAAAAAGCATTCTACTATATTACTAATGCAGCAATATTTCCATGCTAAAATAATTTAGATATTATGGGAAAGACATACATTGTTTAATATTGAACTCAGTATCACAAGGCCAGTATTTTATTAAGCCTTAGTTTGTAATTTATCTTTTATTTCCTCTTCTGTATTAAATGTAAAGGTCATAAAATGTATACAGACTGTATTCATAAATGTAAAGAAAAAGATTTGTCCCAAAAAGTAAAAGAGAAATTTATATATTTAGAATTCTAACCTGAAAAAAAAATTTGGACCCACTTTGAGTCGGATTGTATATTTTCTTCTTTTCGAAAAATCAAACTCACCAATTTGCCATTTCGATTCAAAATAGCCAAATTTTTAGAAAGCTTGAATATACATTAATAGGCAAGTATGCAGTCATTTTTAGATATGTTTATCCTTGATATGAAGATTTTTTTCTATATCCTCTTATATATTTGGAATTTCAAAACACCTTTTTAATCTTATCATGGCGTAGTAGTAATTTATAAATTCCCTTTATAAATAAAGCTTCCCGCATAAGCTTTAGGCTTTAAAGTCATAACCTGCATTACAACTTGTACTGGGCTAATAATCAAATAGTGGGATAAATAGAGTTATAAATAAACTACCTGGTATATGAATAAATAATAAATTGCATACAGATACACACTTCTTAATTAGTATGAATCATAAACAAGTGCAAACTGTAAACATTATTAAAAACATTAAGGACATCAATACATATTAGTATGTTAATAAGTGCTGAGCCACTATACCACTACACAAGCGTCCAAGCTGTGAACTAGCAATTAATACAATCCCCCGGTAATTTCACTATACTCATGTCCCGGGTGTGAACTAACGATACAATCCCCCGATTATTTCTCTATACTCACGCACCGGGTGTGAACTAACAAGACAATCCCCCGATTATTTCCCTATACTTACGCACCGGGTGTGAACTAACGATACAATCCCCCGATTATTTCTCTATAGTCACGCACCGGGTGTGAACTAACGGTACAATCCCCCGATTATTTCTCTATACTCACGCACCGGGTGTGAACTAACGGTACAATCCCCCGATTATTTCTCTCTACTCACGCACCGGGTGTGAACTAACGATACAATCACACGATTATTCCTCTATACTCACGTACCGGGTGTAAACTAGCGATACAATCATCCGGTTATTTCTCTATACTCATGTCCCGGGTGTAAACTAGCGATAAAATATCCCGATTATTTCTCTATACTCACGTTCCAGGTGTGATCTAACGATACAATTCCCCGATTGTTTCTCTATACTCATGTCCCGGGTGTCAACTATACAATACCCCAATTATTTCATTATACTTAGAAATACAACCCCCCGTTTATTTCTCTACACTCAAGTCCCGGGTGTAAACTAGCGATACAATTATTAGATTTTAAAGTGTGGCTATTCGTCAGACAAATAATGTTAGCATACTGTCACCAAGTTATTACATATATTTTTTTTCATATAATTATTTAAATGAAAACCATACTCACATTTGTAAACTTATTTCTTATTCGATTATTTGAATTAAGTGAGAATGATTCTTATATTTTTAGAGGCTTCTGTCGAACACTTTTGTTATCTTATTCCTTATTGGTGTATTTTCTAAATCAATTCAATCCACTTGCGCAGTAGATCTGGGTGTTTATACTCATTTTTGATTGCAATTACTTGTCCCGCCAGCCAGACACATACCATAGCCGTTTATTGTTGTTGAATAAACTAAAGATTTAAAAGTAAAGTGTTCTGATCTGTTACAGCACCTTGTATTCAGTGGACCTCAAAATAACTTCAAATCAACAGAGATTCTTAATTCGACCAATTTTGTTTTTACCAAGTATTTTTTTTACAAAGAGACTATACCAATCTCTTATGGGAATTCATCTCAAAATAACTGATTTTTCAAACAAAGAAAGTTCATTGTAAGTTAGTTTGAGTATAGAATAAATGCCTTTAACTTAAAGAAATGACTTTCCACGCCTTCATATTATTACATGTAATGAAATCTGCCGGCGTGAAGGGTCATAATTCAAAACTCTTTACTTTAAATGTGAACCGCCGAAACCCCAAATAAAATTTTAAATTCAAGTCGTAGGATTTAAATTTCAGAACATGTTTTCTGAATTAAGGGCTAAATAACGGCAGCATTCAACAAAATCATTGGTAAAGAACGGCATATGCAGTTTTTATCAGATAGCTGTATTGTCTTGCTCTGGGTTTTAAATAAAGATTGGACCAAAGCGAACTTTTAACAATATTCATAAAATAGCACTGAACTTTTTGGAGCTAGACTAAAACCCAGTGGTTAAATATCTCTGTTATGTCTGTGATATTTTTATGTATTGTTCATTATTGTCATTAATGAAGAAGCGGTTACTGCAACTCTAACAATTCTTGAAGAAAACAAAGGAGCCAATGTCAAAAAAAGGTAAAGATAACTCCTTAAAATTTAGATGCAAATATTAGAGCGTAAATATTAAACAAATTTTGCTTCGTAACTTAATAATGCTATTCAAAGATGAATATATAGATATATCTAGTTCATGAACATGGATTGAATGTTTTTGGCATTTTTAACAAATATTTCGTTTTAAACGGAAAGGTGTCGATGACAAATAGTAATTATTCCACAACTCGTATAAAAATTCGGGAAACTGAAACATCGCCAATTGAAATCAATCTAAAGGTATCTTTGAAAAATTCAAACAATTCGAATTGATTATGTTGAAAAAAAAAAGTCGTAACTGATGCAGTTAGATCAGAGTTACATTTTGAAGTCGGGAAGAGGTTGATTGTGAATGTAAATCAGTCGCGACTAATATTCCTGGAAATATCGAAACTATTTTTTTTTCTTTCGAACAAATCCAATGACTCCCAATTTTTATATAGGTTGATAGCGCCACTTTAAAAAGACCAAACGTCAATGATTAAAAATAGGAAAATTAAAGTAAAGAATGCAATATTTTCATCCCTCTTTTAATTGATTCACAAATATAATAAAGCTCATGGAGACAAAAATTTTAAAAATAAATATGTTTGATTTTTTAAAATTTCCTATCCCGTAGTTTGTATTGGATAAGTACAATCAGTATAATACATATTGGGGCATTTCAGCTAATTTTTTTAGTAACAGGTTTTACTTGAAAGTTGGCACAAATTTGTTTGGAATGCAACAAGAATTTCATTTTCCTGTGTACTTCTCCGGGCATTACTCAAGCAAAGCTGCTATATTTCCATTCATACAAAATACAAATTTCTTCTATATTTATATTTTATGAAAATAATTCATCAAAACATGATTGACAAAATAAAGCCAGCAGGTATTAACCCTTTCTCTTCCGGCGCATTTTACGTGTTTTTGGAGGCCTTTTGACATGTCATTACTAAATTACTTCTAACTTTTTAAACGTAGGTGAAAGCTAGGCATAATTCATACCATTTTGAAGGGAATTACATCGAGATGATGTTTTATGACTATTTAGATGCTCAACCACTGACCTTATTAGTAAAAATTGAGGTCAAAGGTCAATTAAGTGCAAAATTTTATGGAATTTTTTGATACTTTTTAATATTCAAGCTAAATATTAAGTATTATGTATGTTGAAATAGGAAATTTGGGATATACCCACAAAAGAGCATTATACTGTAGTACACGAAACACATAAAACTTTTTTTTCAATTCTGCATATAACTACTTAAAAGGGGTTGCTAAGCAACGCAGAATTCTTTAATTTTCGGGCAGAAATTTTAATTTTTTAATCAATCTAGATACATTTATGCATCCAAGCACATATTAAAGTTAGATGTGAGGTCATAAAATTACAAGGGACATACAGTAGATAAATTGTGTTAAAGTTTGACCTCATTATATCTATTTTTAGGAGGTCAAAGGTCAAATAAGTGCAACAATTTGATCAACTTTTTTCAACACTTTCCAATATTCTTGCCATAATTTTATACAATGGATGCTGAAATGGAAAATTCTGAATATTATTCTCAAAAAGGGATCAGAACTGCAATATCCATGCATCATTTTAGTTCAAATATCTGTTTAATGACCTTTTAGTGGTTGCTAAGCAACAACATTTTAAAGGTTTTGGCTATATACATGTTTGTTATTTCACATTCTGGACACATTCAAGACACTTTTTGTATATTTCATGATATTGTTTGTAAGATATATATGGGCCATAAAGATGAAAGAACATTTTTGTATTAAAAATATTGACCTTGACACTCTTGTTCTTCAGGGGGTCAAGGTCATATCAGTACAGAATTCTGCTTTAAACTGTAAGAAAATATCAATTTTGAAATGCTTCATACATGGATAAATCATCTAATAGTTGACGTAATAGAAATGGCGAGTGACAAAATTTGCAAGCGAAGAATTCTGGTCTGCTTCTTACAAACCCCTAGCAAAACATGTATACAATCTTTTTGTTAAACAAGAAATCCATTCTCTTGATGCCATTAAAAATAATCTTTATTTTCATGGATTTAATCTAACAAGAAAAAAAAATAAATGATTTCATTACAAGATTTTTCTGGTATAACTGAGCTTAAGGGGTACAATAAAGACTTGACATGTTATTTTGGAGGGAAATAATAACAATAAATAGCATTGGCAATATTTAGCCCAAAACTGTTTAGTCAATACGTTGAAAATTTGATGCTTATATCCAAATATACAAATCCAGATATATTGCAAGATGAATTCCAAATCAGACTGAGATCTTCAACAAAATGTTGAAGAGCACTTTTACTTTGTGTCCACCATTCTCTTATCAACTGTTACTTCTCTGTAAGACTGGAGGAAATTCTTTGCCTTGTCCAAGACATTATAATTTGCTTTCAAGTTCAAGTGATCAGCTTCTATCCTGTAATAGATTTAAATATTTTGAAACAGATACATGCCATTGTGTATATGAATTTACATTTATAAATAAAATTAAGAATGCTAAAATTACTACATTTATTTGATTTTCCTTTTAAAATTAAGATTGCATATATTGTGTGATTCAAGTAGTTAAATTATATTGTTAAGTCAATGTATCAGGACTGATAATTCAACAACCTTGTAGTAAACCATAATGGTAAAATTACTGAACTAAAACAAATAGCATATATGGCAATCTGACTAAAGCCAGACCTCTGTTTACGCTATCGCAATATGTAAAAAAAAAATCTGGCAGTGGATGGAAGATCTAATTTTAATTAGATTGCTATGAAATCCATGAAGGGACACAGCAATTTTTCAAAAAGTAGAAAATGAAAACTCAAATTAGACAATCCAA